CTGATTAATTAAGCTCCTTGCGTTTCCGCTTTCTTGAATTATTATTATTATTATTACAGCACCCTATTACTTCCTTCTTTTTTTTTTCTTCGTTCGTTCCTCAGTAGTACGATCGGTTGATAAAAGGGCGAGAAGGTTTGGGAATCCTGTCGATTGTAAATACGGATTTCGTTATTCGGTTGTGTCGATGAGTTGAATTGAATTGGAAGAGAGAGAGAGAGAGTGAGAGAGAGAGAGAGACTTGTATATAAATTTCGAATATTGTCCACGGGGAATGATCTACTATTACTTAAGGTCCCTTAGAGGCGGGTTGTACTGCTGCGAGGATACGTGTTAAGGTGGGAATTTAGGGAACGTAAGGGGGTTTAAGGTAGGAACGACAGGGAAGTGCGAAAGTTGAACGACGTCCGAGTGTGTTAGGGTACGAAGGGGGTGCAGTGAACGCCATCTTGTTATTGAATGGCATTTACTTGAAATATATAGCGATTGGTTGCTGGCATTTATCTTGTTTCTTTTTCTTTTTATTGTTACTGTCTCGTGGTAGTTTTTCCTTCTTTTTCTATCGTTTCGGAGGCTAAAAAGTTGTCGCGGTTGACGACAACGTCATTTTTTCGTTCGCACGACCCTTTTATGGATTTTCGTGTTGTTTTTCATAGCTACGGGATCTCGTATGCTTGTTTTATGGGATCGACTTGGGGAGTGCGTTTTGAATTTTGCCGCGTCAACTGACCGCGCTGATAACTCTAACGGGAATACGAGAGATTCGAATATTGAGCATCGGTCGCTGCACCCTCACTTCTTTATAGGATGAATTTACGAAATAAACGTCCCGCACGATCTGCCTCTCGTTCGTACCTTCGATCGTCTGCCCAGCCTCATCGCCCTTTTCTTATTACAAAAAAAAAAAGAGGAAGATGTTCTCCATGCGTAAAAAAAACACACTACTCTCTTTTGTATCGTTTGTTACGTTATTATTTTAAATGATACAACCCAATTGTTCTTAATTTAAATGTAAATCGTATTTTTGTTTGTTTTTTTTAGTTATTTTTTTGTTGTAAAATGCTTTTTAATAATATTTTCAGTTCACATTATCATCGAGGTTTGGTCTCTATTATTTTCTGCGTTCACCGTAAAATCCACTGAATCCTTCCACCCCATCGACTCCGTACCATTACCCTGAACTCATCCTTCGTAAGCACCATCATACCTTGCACAATGCCGGATGCCAATATTTATCTTCCGTGGTAAAACTCGACCTGTAAATTTTTCTTTTTTTTTCAAAAAAAAAAAAAAAAAATCCAAAATTTACATCCAAAAAATCATATCCACCAATCCTCGTCAGTTTGTCTTCTCGCATCCCCTTTTGTATGTATTTAGCTTCTGTGTTCGTATTTTTTTTTTCTTCGCAACATTCCAAACTAGTCATAGATAACAAGTAAACCTCCTTCTGCGGTAGACAAACGAAGGCGCTACGCCTTGACAAGCACAGTGGCCGTATTCGATCCAGTAGCCACCCTCGTTACGATTGACGATAACGCGCACGTTTTCACCGAGCCGACAAGTAGGCATTTTTCGAAAAAAAAGAAAAAATTGTTCGCAGTACCTAAAAGTTAAAAAAAAATAGATAAAATCAAAACAATGAAGGTCCATCCCCCGAGATTTCCACCAGACGACCAGAGGGATCCCTGGAAAAAAAATAGGGACGCGCGTTGACGCTGAAAGAACAACAAAATAAAGAACCGGAAATAACGAACGTAACGAGGAGGCCACGTGTGGGTAAGCCAGCCACGTTTTTTGCTTGTGTGATAATATACAATAGAGACAAGAGAGCAGCAGGAGGGTAGGAATTGTGAGTGTGCTGTGGGTGACGGTAATTATTGCTGGTTTTATTATTATTCTTATTATTCTTATTATTATTATCATTATTATTATTATCGTAACTATAATTATGACAATACATTTTTTTCTTTTCTTCTAATTCCTTTCTCTTTTTCCTTTTTCCAAATGAGCGAGAATAACAGGCGTACACGTGGCACGGATAAACGAAAGCGACATTGACGCAAAACGGTACTTTACACAGAGACAAAGGGGGAATTCAGGAATGAGACCGGAGATGACGAAAACGACATGAAGCGAAAACGAAAAAGATAAGGGGAGAAGGACGCGAAGAGATTTGTGTCGGGCGAAGTAAGAGAGGATATAAAAAATGTGAGTAACGAAAGAGAAAGAAAAGAAAAAGAAAAAAAAGAAGAGAAAGGATAAACGGGCGTCCATGCATATAAATATTTCGAGGTATCTTTCTTGGCACTCGCCAATTATACTGGTTAATAAACGTTTTAGGGAACTTAGGCGGATAGATGACATATATATTTTTGTACGTTCGCATGTACGACGAGAGACCGAGAGACCTTGAGTAAGAAGACACACGAGAGAATGCGTGAGAGATAGAGAGAGAG